AAGCTCAGATTATTCGGCAGAAACCATGCAGGCAAGAAGGCAATGGGATGACATATCTAAAACCTTGAAAGAAAAAAATTGCCAGCCAAGAATAATAAATCCTGCAAAACTGTCATTCAAATATGATGGTGAAATTAGGATATTTCCAGATAAAGAGAAATTAAGGGGCTATGTAAAAACCAAACCAAACTTACAAGAATTATTAAAGGGAGTCCGTTATCTGAGAACAAACAACATCAGCTCCCAGGCTGAATCTAGGACACAGGATCATACCAGCCAGATACCAATCTAGGAAATGAGCTCTCAAGGACTATCCAAAACCAGAAGAAATACAACAGGGAATCAGAGCAGTTAATCTGTAAATGACAACAACATCAGAACGATAAAAGAGGGAATAAACGGTGTAGGTATAGCACCTTCTAATGGAGAGGAAGGTAAGGCGATACTATATGTGTTGTGAACTAACAGGTATTTGATACAGACATCCAAGCTGCCTGCAGCCTTATGAAGGGTTAATCCAGCTCTATCTGTCCTTCAGTCATATACTTTTTGCGCTTCAAATTTGCCTGGTCTGGTCAGGGCCATGCTAGATACACTGGGCCTTTTTTAGTGGTGTGCTAGAAGCCTGCTCTCTGGGGGGAAATCTTTGATTTGTCGCATATACTGATTTCTGTGGTTGTTTTGATGGTATAAATACTCCCACCATTGCCGATTAAAAGCTACCAATATGGTGTCACTGAACCTGGAGGGGAAGAGATGCACACATCAGCTCTCCTCTGACGAGCCTGCACAAGCCAGCTGCAGCACATTTATAAAAGGTCCCTCTCTGGATGGAGGACTTAAGAAAGATACCCTCTTTGGGCAAATTAGTAAAAACCGTCTCTTCTGGGCAGACCCGTGCCACATGTGTGACTTGGTGAACAGGGGGCAGATGCCCCTTCCTCCACACGTGGGTTTTGAGGGGAACGTAAGCAAGATTTTAGGCCCATTTGCCCCCTTCGCTGGGTACCTCTGTGCACTGCACAACCTTAAAAAGCAGTGCTGGCTCTGATTCATAACCACCCTACAGTGAAGTAAAATGGATGGAATAAGGAAGCAAGAGAACCAAGACACCTAGCAGCCTGAACATGCTGCTCTCTGTAGATAATTATAGGATGATACTGCCAGGTGGAATACGAGTTGTTCTTAAAATTAGCTTAATTGTCAGAAAGCTAAAGATCCCTCAACTATACCACTCTAGGGACAGACATAAGGATATAGCTAAAAACACTTCAGAGATTTGATACCTGTAATACTACATATTTAGATTTCAGTACATGAAACAGACAATTTGAGATATCGCTGGTGAAGATGTTTTATTTTTCACAAAAATATAACTGTACAATTCTTCTTCAGAGAAAGAAAAATCCCTTCAATGCCCTAAAATACCGTGTGGTTTAATAACAGTCTTCTTCGCTTTTAAAACTAAATGTCTGATTGATAATATGCAACTGATTTCTTGTGAAATATACCATTTATGTTTTTTAACTTTCTTTGCCTTTATTTCAACTAAAGGTAAGTCCAGTTTAATCCTGTACTTTTTTGTAAGGAGCCAAATCAAGGCTATCATAATTTAAAGATGACAAAATCAAATGCTAAATGGTGATGTTGGTAAATACTGTCAATTATCTGGTAAACAGTGATATGAATTTGCCACAGTAAGACAGATTCTGATTTAGATATAATAGAAAGATAAATTTTTCAAGAACTTAGGCTATATCCTAAAATTTGATCTAGTCAAACTTATTCCATATTATATTCAGTTGCTCTGCTATGTGGCAGGTCTGTGCTGCCTTAATGACAGAATAGGACCAGTCTAAATATACAAGTATATTCCCCCCTTATATTTCTTTCTTCAGGAAAAAAAAAAAAAAGACAAACATTACTCTGTTTACTCAGAGAACAAGAAGAACAGCACTATTCTAGAAAGCCTGAGCTCATTGGTTCTCTCACCCTCTTCTGTTCTCGCTCAGCCCTTTTGTGGTCATTACAGGTGAGTGATAGATGCCAAGGTTTCATAACCTTGCTCCTTACCTGGAAAGGGGGAGGAAATGCTTCAGCTGTTTTAATCAGTGGCATTTATTAACATGCTTCAGAGTGGCCAAAGCGTGCAGTCAGCACAATACCCAAAGCAATCAAGTCATTCCTTTTTGAGACCAAGGAGCTTTCTCTTGGTTTGATCTACTACCAAATACACAATAGGTAGGTTTAGGAATAAAGTCAAATTGTCATTTAGTTTGACCTAAAATTATATGTCCTCTACCTGAGGACACAGTGCTTACTCTTGTAAAGATACTGGAAAAAAATAAATAAATAAAAGCTCAAATGACCCTGACCCTGTAATTCAGAATTACAACCAGGGAAGAAATACTCCAGGCAGAATGGAGACCTTCCACTGAAGAGCCACATTCATTTCGGAATGTTTGCTTTGAAAATAACTCCTCCGGGGAATTCAAAAGGTACTGAACAAAGCAACATAAAGTAAGTCTTGGGATGTTTTGCAAAATAAAAATATACAATTGAGTAGACCAGATGGCAAAAACATACCCATTACAATCTGAACACTATACTTAAAACACTTAAATTCTGAAGGCCTGAATATCAACAATCCTTAATCTATCTGTATTTATGATTCTAAAAATGACATTTGATAGTCTTAAACCCCCAGTCCTCCAAAACACAGGGAGACCCAATAAGCTGGGCTAGTGGTATATCAGTAGTCACACACGACTAGACTGGAGATCCAAGTTTGCAACCTAAGCACAAGAGGTCTTTAGGAACTGTATTCAAATTCATGGCCTAAGAAAAGGGAACATGTGCCTTGTAATCTTAAACTATGTGGTCCATTTTATGTTCGACCTCACAATCCAGACTATGATGCCTCCTTATAAACTGCCAGTTCATAACAAAACACAGTTTGCTTGGAAGCCAAATATTTGCTTCATTAGAGTGAAGAACAATTACAATTTAGCAGCAACAGAGAACACAACTTCTGATTTAACTATGGAAAAGAGGCAGTGATAGTGTCTTAATGGGGAAATCAAAAGATTTCTAGGTCTATTTGTGTGTCATATGACAAGCCTGATTCCTCAAGCCTCACTCCATTTGGTAGTCAGGAAGAAAGCAAATGTATCTGTGATGGGAACCGGGGGATACTCTGTCCCTCTGCACGTCCTGCCAGGCCCACTCACTGTGGTGCTGTGCCCAACTCCAGCACTCCTGCTAAACTCCACAGTGGAGGCATGGCAAGGGCTGAACCAGATGCACACCCTAGTGTGTTTCTTTCTGGCTCAGAACACATTCATATGGACACTCACGTCAGCAAGGAAACTAAGTGTTCTGGTTACAGCTACAGTCATCAGATCTACTAGCAACTTGTCCTCATTTTGTTCCAGATCTCTCGATGCAGAAACTCTCTCTCAGCAGCTAGTTTCATCCTATTCAGAAAAATTCTGAGTTAGTCGAATACACACACAAAAAATATGTATGAACATTCAATCCTGCCCTCCCCACATACACATACAAAAAAAAAAAAAAAAAACATACAGGCAGTCCCCAGGTTACGAATGAGATCCGTTCCTAAGTCTGTCTTTAAGTCGAATTTGTAGGTAAGCTGGAACAGGTACATATGGTCCTTACTTCGTTTAGTTAGTCCAATGTTTCTTACTATACAGGACATATTTTACCTTTCTATGCATACAAAACACGTAAGAAACACTTCCAAACTGAGCAATGTTTTCATGAGCGTCACAAGTAGTGCGTTCATTATTACGAATCATTGTAGGTATTTAACTCAAACTTTTAATATAATAGGCTTTCTGGCAGTCTGTTCTTAAGTCCCAGTTGCCCCTAGGTTGTAGGTTAGTAACCTGCGGACTGCCTGTACATACGTATTTTGAGTTGTCTAGATGATGTACGCTGCTGAAATGCCTGAAAGGTTACTTCTTGCTTAAAAATAAAATTTGACTATTCTCCAAGGATGGATTAGGCCCTAGCAAACTTTTATAAGAAGACAGCAACAAAGGTTTTAAATGAAAGCTGTCTTGAGGGCTTTCCTGATGAATTCTGCTAACATGTATGTTATTTAATACAGGCATACCATTATGGATTATAAAAATAGAAATGTATATATTTGTTAATACATATTCACAGCTTATGCTGGAATGGCTTACAGGAGAAATCATGGTTCATGCAGGAAGTATACATTACTCAAGTAAATATAAAGAAATAAGATTAGGTCCATAAAGGCTGCGAACTTGCAGTCAGTAATCAGCCCATTTGGTTTCTCTTTATAGAGCAGTCAAAAACATGAAAGGAGGTAACACCAACCAGACACACACATACACACAATTACATGAATTACATGGAAAGAATATAAATAACCAACAAAGCAATGTGGAGTTAAGGTGCAAAAATACAATCTTCAACCCATTTTTCTTTAGTCCTGTGTTTTCAAGCATCACAACATGTTAAATGCCATGGTGGTAACACTAACAAGAACAGGTCTGAATGTTTGAAAATTTTCTAAGTGTTGAAGGTTAAAGCAAGATCCTTTGAGACCTATGATCACACATTTTGGTAGACACATTTTGCAGATTTACAGAGATGACTACTGAGCAGTAGGTAGTAAACAGCCATGAAGTATAATCTTGCCCATTCATCCTCCATGGGAAACAGAATATTGGTTTCAATCACTGATTCCTCTTTTTACATCATCTTCACCCTGAAAAATAAATCAAAGTTACCTATGTAAATATGTTTTTAAAGTCAGTGAAGTTTGGTTAATCTGTTTTAAAATGCATGATTTTTTTCAGTTTTGTATCTACAGGAAGGCTATTTTTTAAAAATACAGATGGAAAGAAAAATGAACTGATTTGGCTTTTTTCTTTAATTCAATTTATACTATGGCAAATGTTACCTATCTAATAAAAGTTATCAAAGAGCCAATTCCTTCAATTTTATCACTTTTTTTAAAAGATGAAAAGTTTGTAACATTTCCTCATAACTATTTCAAGCGCAATCACAATAATGAAGAAATAAACACAAGACATCTTCATTCCAAAATCCTTAAGCGTTTATTCAACAAATGGTGCTGGGAGAACTACATATCCTTATGAAAAAGAATGAAGTTGACCCCTACCTCACACCATACATAAACTTAACTCAAAATGGATCAATGACCTAAATATAAGAGCTAAAACCATAAAACTCTTAGAAGAAAACATAGGGATAAATCTTTATAACCTTGGATTTGGCAATGGATTCTTAGATATGACACCAAAAGCACAAGCAACAAAAGAGAAAAAAACAGATAAACTGGACTTCACCACAATTACAACTTTTGTGTATCAAAGGACATTATCAAGAAAGTAAAAAGACAATCTACAGAATAGGAGAAATTACTTGCAAATCATGTATCTGATAAGGGTCTAGTATCTAGAATATATACAAAGAGCTCTCACAACTCAATAACAAGAAGCCAAACAACCCAATTAAAAAATGGGTAAATAAGTATACATTTGTCCAGAGTAGACAAACGGCCAACAAGAACATGAACATATGCTCAACATCAGTAGTCATTAGAGAAATGCAGACCAAAACCAGAGATACTATTTCACACCCACTAGAATGGCTCTAACATAAAAAATGGAAAATAACAATGTTGGTGAGAATGTGGAAAAACTGGAACCCTCGTATATTGCTGATGGGAATGTAAAATGGTTCAGTCACTGTGGAAAACAATTTGGAGGTTCTTCAAAAAGTTAAACATAGAATTACCATATGACCCAGCAATTCTACTCCTACGTATATACTCAAAACAACTACAAACAGGTACTCAAATACTTGCATACACATGTTCATAGCAGCCCTATTTACAATAGCCAAAAGGTGGAAACAACCCACATGTTCATCAATGGATAAATGGATACACAAATTGTGGTATACACAAACAATGGAATAGTAAACGACAAGAAAAAGGAATGAAATGCTGACGCATGCTACAAAATGAACCCTGAAAACATTATGCTAAGTGAAAGAAGCCAGACACAAAAGTTCACTTATTATACGATTTCATTTATATGAAATATCCAGAATAGGTAAATCCATACAGACAGAAAGCAGATGGGTGGTTACCAGGGGATGGGGGCTGAGGGAAATGCGCAGCAACTGCTTTATGGGTACAGGTAATTCTTTTGAGATAATGAAAATGTTTTGGAACTACATAGAGGTGGTTGTACAATATTGTAAATGTACTAAATATCACTGAATTGTTCACTTTAAAATGGTTAATTTTATGTTATGTGGATTTCACTTCAATTTTAGCAACTCCTTACGGTTATGCACTACTGTAGTAGAGAGAGCCTGGACTAGGTGAGAACAGGCTTTATCGTTAGAGCTGTGTGACCCTGGGCACCTCACTCAGCCCCTCTTCTATTTATTGATCTGTAAGATAAGAGGTAGAACTCAACACAATTGTTGGAGGAAATAATTAAGATAAATGTAAGTGGAAGTACTTTGTAAACTATAAATCAAAATATAAATAAGAGGTATTATTATTAACAGTAACTAGAATAACGCATTTGCATTCATGGACTAAATTTACTTAATAAATAATCTTCTATACAGTTTATCACTTGCTCTTTATTGACCCCATGTTTTTGTTGTTGTTAGGTACCCTAGAGTCAGTCCCGATGCATAGCGACCCTATGTACTACAGAACAAAACACTGCCCGGTCCTGTGCCATCCTCACAATTATTGTTATGCTTGAGCCCACTGTTGCGGCCACTGTGTCAATCCATCTCGTTGAGGGTCTTCCTCTTTTTCTCTGACCCTTTACTTTACCAAGCATGATGTCCCTCTCCAGGGACTGATCCCTCCTGGTAACATATTCAAAGTATGTTAAGACATAGTCTCGCCATCTTTGCTTCTAAGGAGCATTCTGGTTGTACTTTTTCCAAGACAGATTTGTTCGTTCTTTTGGCAGTCCATGGTATATTCGCTATTGTTCACCAACACCACAATTCAAAGGCGTCAGTTCTTCTTTGGTCTTTCTTATTCGTTGTCCAGCTTTCACATGCATATGATGCAACTGACAATACCATGGCTTGGGTCAGGCTCACCTTAGTCTTCAAGGTGACATCTTTGCTTTTCAACACTTTAAAGAGGTCTTTCACAGCAGATTTGCCCAACGCAATGCATCTTTTGATTTCCTGACTGCTGCTTCCATGGGTGTTGATTGTGGATCCAAGTAAAATGAAATCCTTGATGACTTCAATCTTTTCTTCATTTATCATGATGCTGCTTACTGGTCCAGTTGATCCCATGTCAAACACATTTCAACACTTAGACTCTAATACCATTTTACTTGCTTATTAGTGTATAACAAAGGACATCAGTGTTTTATTTAAAGACGTACTAAGGAAAACGGTCAACAGAAACCCCACCTTGAAACCAAAAACCAAACCGAACCCGTTGCCGCTGAGTCGATTCCGACCCACAGCGACCTTAGAGGACAGAGTAGAACTGCCCCATAGGGTTTTCAAGGAGCAGCTGGTGGATTTGAACTGCCGACCTTTTGGTCAGCAGCCCTATCACTTAACCCTGTGCCACCAGGGGTCCACCTTGAGACAGTCCCCTAAATATAAATTCTCCCATGCATTGTACTCACAAGAATTGTTATTAGCTTCTGTCTTCCCAGCCTTCATGTGCCTGCTTGAGTTCTGCTGAGATTTGCTCTGCTCTTCTCCAGTGAGTAGGGCCTTTATTTCAGAAGGGATTTTTCCTTGGTCCATTGCCATGCACCACTGCTTATACTGAAATGTGTAAAATATATTTAAGTAAAATTTTACCAGAGCTCAGGAACCACTGTTAGAAATCCTAGCCATAAGTACTCCTATGCCTAGAGATCAAGTCGGCTACCAGCAATTATCCTCTGCTGTATTTCTTTTTTATAACCTAGGTAATATATTGGAAACCCTGGTGGCGCAGTGGTTAAGAGCTATGGCCGCTAACCAAAAGGTCAGCAGTTCGAATCTACCAGGTACTCCTTAGAAACTCTATGGGGCAGTTCTCCTCTGTCTTATAGGGCTGCTATGAGTCAGAATCCACTCGATGGCAACGTGTTTGGTTTTTTTGGTTTAGGAAATATATGAGATCTGCCACCTTTCAGAAGAGGGTGAAAAACTGTCGTTAAATATTTTCGTAACGCACTGAAGTGTTAAGATTAACAAGCCCATTCTGGTTAAAAGAAATCTCTCCCTACAGTATGCCATTAATTAGAGGTTTATTATGATTAATAAATCATTTTAAAATGCAAATACTCGAAGATGGCTCACACTATCAGTTATTCACACCTTACTGACAATCACTTTACCCAAACACTCTCTTAGCTAAGAATACAATTAAAAAACAAACAACACAATCTTAGGTAGAGTGAGGAGTGGCAATTTGAAAAGCCAGAAGACAATACAGGGAATTTAGAAAGGGGATCGAGGTGTAGCAAAGGACCAAAGATAAAACAAATCCTGCAATTCTGCCTAGAGCCTTAATGCTTGTCCAAGAGTTGGGCCTTAGTCTATGACTGCGGTCATTGCTGCCCATTCAGCCAGTGCCACAGGCATTTCCTTAACTGCTGCCATGCTCTCCCAGATTTCTGAATCCACCAGTGGGAGCTTTACAGTGTGTAAAGCCATGGATTAAGATCTAGGGGAACCTCAGAGACTAAAATTTTGCTGAAGACAATTCAAAAACAGTTGCAGCAGTACATGGACAGAGAACTGCCAGAAATTCAAGCCAGATTCAGAAGAGGATATGGAATGAGGGATATCATTGCTGATGTCAGAGGGATCTTGACTGAACGCAGAGAATACCAGAAAGACGTTTACCTGTGTTTTATGACTATGCAAAGGCGTTCGACTCTGTGGATCATAACAAATTATGGATAACATTGCGAAGAACAGGAATTCCAGAACACTTAAGTGTGCTCAAGAGGAACCTGTACATAGACCAACAGGCAGTCATTTGAACACAGCACGGGGATACTGCGTGGTTTAAAATCAAGAAAGGTGTGCGTCAGGTTGTATTCTTTCACCATACGTATTCAAGAGCAAACAATCCAAGAAGCTGGACTATATGAAGAATGCTGCATCAGGATTGGAGGAAGACTCAATAACAACCTGCAATATGCAAATGACCCAACCTTGCTTGCTGAAAGTGAAGAGGACTTGAAGCACTTACTAATGAAGATCAAAGACTACAGCCTTCAGTATAGATTACACCTTAACATAAAGAAAACAGAAATCCTCAGAACTGGACCAATGAGCAACATCATGATAAACAGATAAAATACTGAAGTTGTCAAAGATTTCATTTCACTTGGATCCACAATCAACACTCATGGAAGCAGCAGTCAAGAAATCAAATGATGTATTACACTGGGCAAATCTGCTGCAAAAGACCTCTTTAAAGCGTTAAAAAGTAATGATGTTACTTTGAGGACTAAGATGCACCTGACTCAAGCCATGATATTTTCAATCACCTCATATGCATATGAAAGCTGGACAATGAATAAAAAAGATGGAAGAAGAATTGATGCCTTTGAATTATGGTGTTGGTGACGAACACTGAATACACCGTGGACTGCCAGAGGAAGGAACGAATCCGTCTTGGAAGAAGTACAGCCAGAATGCTCCTCAGAAACGAGGATGGCAAGACTTTGTCTCACGTACTTTGGACGGGTTATCAGGAGGGACCAATCTCTGGAGAAGGACATCATGCTTGGTAAAGTAGAGGGTAAGCAAAAAAGAGGAAGACCCTCAAAGAGATGGACTGACACAGTGGCTGCAACAATGGGATCGAAGAGCAATGACTGTGAGGATGGTACAGGACTGGGCAGTGTTTTGTTCTGTTGCACATAGGGTCACTATGAGTTGGAACTAACTAGATGGCACCTAACAACAATCCCTTTACAGAAAATATTTGCTGACTCTTGCTCTGGACCCATTCATCCAGTTACCACTGAATCTTTCCTCTTGGATCTTCCACAGACATTTCAAATTAAACATGTCTAGAAATCTGAACTTCCATCTTTTTCCACTAAGCCCACTCTGCATCATCTACATCCCCTATCTTAATATACGGGACCATCATTCGTCTAGTGAGACACTAACTGTTACACTTAAGTTACTCCTACCTCACCCCTAACTTCTGTGGCTTCTACCCTTGTAAGAACTCTGGTATTTATCTGCTTTGCTGCATCTGCACTGCCCTCACCTTGGTTCAGGCCAACTACCATAGCCTCCTAAAGGTTCTCCCTGCCTCTAAGTAGTCTCATCTGCTCACCCTTACCCACTCTCCACACTGCAATCACAGTAATTACTCTTAGACAAATATAACCATATCACTCTCCAGTTTAAAAGCCTTTAGACGCTCTTAAGATGAAGTTCTTACTCCTTGTCATTGCTCAGAAGGCCTGTCTACAGCTGCTGTTGTGGTCCATGCCCCCACGGTCCTTATCAAGCTCTTACCACTACCAGCATCTCACTTTAAGATCCCATCACAGTTCTCATAATTTGCCATAGTTTCTCACCTCTGGATCTTAGTCTACAGCTGCTGGCTTCACTGCATAGTTATGACTGGGGCCTTACTATACATGTATGATAGAATCATGCTCCTTTCTCTCTCTGAGGTCAGCTGATAACAGGCCATGAGGTGGTCCTTCTGGCTTGGCCAACTGTTCCCCCCCCACCCCCGCCCCGCATTAGCACAAATCCTCAAGCATAGTCTTTAGGCCTAGATAATAAAAGGTACCTCGATTACTCAGGAAATGCCAAAGATTCTCTCTCAGGAACCAAGGATAAAAGCCAAATTGCTCTCTGTAAGGTGATTCATTGTGGGAGAAAGATGTGGCAGCCGCTTCCATGAAGATTAAGCCAAAAAAAAACCAAACCCATTGCTGTCGAGTTGATTTCTACTCACAGTGACCCTATAGGGCAGAGTACAACTGCCCCATAATGTTTCCAAGGCTGTAAATCTTCACAGAAGCAGATTGCCATATCTTTCTCCCGTGGAGTGGCTGATGGGTTCGAACCACCAACCTTTCAGTTAGCAGACAAGCACTTAACCACTGCGCCACCAAAGCTCTTTCTGTAAAGACTAAAAAAAAACAAACAAACCCATTGCCGTCGAGTTGACTCCTACTCATAGCGACCATATAGGACAGAGTAGAACTACCCCATAGGGTTTCCAAGGAGCTGCTGGTGGATTTGAACTACCTACCTTTTGGTTAGCAGCTGTAGCTCTTAACCACTGTGCCACCAGGGCTCCTCTGTAAAGATTACAGCCTTGGAAACCCTATGGGGCAGTTCTACTCTGCCCTATAGGATCACTGTGAGTCAGAATCAACTTGATGGCAATAGGAAGATGATTCATTACTTCACAGAAGGCAAGAAATAATTTATAGCACAAATCAAATTCAACAGATTAAAGAAAACAACCTACTGAATAGTGTACATTGGATCTTCCTTATGCTCCAACCTTCTCGCTTACCTTCTAAAAGCCTGAGGTAGCCTGCCCTACCTTTGCTACCATCACGGGAGTACCATCTCTCTCTTCTCCTCCCTGGCACCTCCCCTCTAAGTTCACAGTAATGGGTTTTAATTCTCTTTTACCTACTCTCTTTTTTCACTACACAAAATCTGAATGAATAAAACATGTTAAACAAATGTTTAAACACAAACAGTACCATACTACGCATATTTTACATATTGTTATATTGTTTTTTCAAGATGGCAATATATTTTGAACATCTTTCTATGTCAGTAAGAAAAATACGTGCATTGTGATTTTTACTGGCTGCAAAGTAGTCCAGTATATGAATGCAGTATAATTTATTTAACCAATCACTTACTGTTGTACATTTGGGTTATTTTCCATTTTTTTATATCATAAACAATTCCTCAATGAAATAGTCATGTACATTCAGCTCCCACAAGCAGTGTATGAAAATGCTTATTTGCTCACGACCTCACTAACAGATTAGTATCCTTTCCAATGTTTGCCAAATGAACAGGTGAAACTGGTGTCTTCAATGTTTTAAAGTATATTTCTTTGACTGCTAAGTTGAGGTTATTTCATGCATTTACTGACAGACTTCCTTACCATTTCCAGTTCCTCTCGGAGTGCACATATGGCTCTTTCTCGACTGGATACCAGCTCTTCCAAATACTGATATCTCAGCTTTTTTCTGGCCCGGCATTCTCTCGCACTCTGCCGGCTCCTCTCAAGTTTTGCCTTCAGGTCGATTTTGGCTGGCTTCCGACCACGTTTACCAGGCTTCTTTACTTTGCCTCCACCCACCTTTAGCAAGAGAGAGAAGAAATCATCTTTTCTCTTAGTTCTGTGTCCAAGAAAGCAACTAGAGCTGCATATTAGCAAAGAGAACGTATACAAATTATAAACAAACAAGGCCTATGGAACTAAGAGGTCCCTGGGTGGCTCAAGAGGGTTGTACTTGACTAACTTAAAGGTTGACAGTTCAAACCCACCCAGAGGAACTGCAGAAGAAAGGCCTGGAAATCTGCTTCCATAAAGATTATGGCCAAGAAAACCCTATGGAGCAGTTCTTCTCTGTAACACATGGGGTCACCATGAGTTGAAACTGACTCGACGGCAATGGTTTTTTTTTTTTCCTTTTTCTTACAGAACTAATAAAATAAAATGTAATCCCGTCAGATGCCTGTGGGTCTATGCCTCATACTTTTTTTCAGATACCATGATTGTGAGAGAACAAATAATGTAAGTTTTTACTATTTCCTCAAAATAAACTTTAATTTGACAATAAACATTATGAACCATATGGAACTTATAATAAAAAACTAAAAGATCACTTCTAAATATTTTGTTCATGAAGAACTTTTATTGACTTGAAAAAATTATTATAAATTATTTTAAAAAGTAAAAAAATTCAATGTTCAAAATTGTAATTCAGTATGATCTCAATGTTACAAAACAATACATAGGAGAAAGGAAGTTGAAAGGTTAATGATTTTTCTGATAGGCAGAATTACAAATAGCTTTTTCTCATCTGTACTTTTATGATTTTTATACATTTACAATTAGAAAAATAGAAAAAATGTATATAAAATTATATGTGTGTCTGTGTGTGTATCCTGAGCAATTTGGCTATAAATTCCCTCTTCAAATTTGTTGAGCCCAAAGGAGCCATAGGAAGTCTCTGAAGTGTTGCGGATAATCTTCTCTCAGCTTTAGAAGCCTGTAATTAACACCCCTAGCCTGTCTCAGTAGATTTCTACTTGCTCCCACTGGTGTCATAAGACAGCGTCTCAATATCCCCATTATTCGTCACCTGCCTAGGCCCAATTTTTAGGTGACTGACAACGTAATCTTCTTCATTATTTAGCTTTGGAACTTCCTCAGGTTACAAGATGCAACTATGAGGTAAAGACGATAAATTTTAAAAACATGAACCAGAATTTATACATCAAACAAATACTCTTTAAAGCCATCACCGAGAAAGGGTGTACATTTATTTTAACAATTCCACTGTTCAAAGCTTTTGAGAATTGCTTTTGGATCCCGTTTTTACAAGCTACAACACAATATGCCTTCTTACTTTAGAGTCACACATTATTCCTTAAATTCCTGGTGTAATTATTCACTTTGTTTATCTGATGTGTTGTTTTTTGTTTTTTTAAAATTGTTGTTGTTGTTGGGAATATACACAGCAGAACATACACCAAGACAACAAATTCTGCACATTGACTGATTACATTCTACATGTTGACATTGATTACATTCTTCAAGCTGTACAGCCATTCTCACCCTCATTCTCCTGAATTGTTCCTCCCCCATTAACACGAATTCACTCTGATGTGGTTCTGAATGATGCTCAGCCCTTTGTGAAAATCACCCTGAGAGAATAAAAATGTTACACCTTCACTAGACCGACAGGAGTACTGCTGAGGCTTTAAGGGTAATTCTAAAGGAGAAGGTGCAAAACTCAAAAACTGGCAACTCAGTAAAATAAATGTATAAACTTTCCCAGGTAAGAAAATTCAAAGGGTCAATATTCATTTGGATCCAAAAACTCTGGTTTGTTTTGTTTGAAATCACTCTCTATTATATACCAACAACGCCCAGTACCCTATAAAAAGATCAGCCATTACTAAGTATAAAAGATCAGGAAAACCAAACTTTAAATTTCAATCAGCTACATTTACCAGACATCGTTGTCACATTGTGATGGCTAATCATTGTATTTAGCATTTTATAGGGTGGCTCTGAAATGAGATAGATTACGCCAAAACTCTAGGGGAAAAAATTCTCTCCTTTCTACCACATCTCAAAAGCCAGCTCTTTCAGTACTACTCCCATGTTAGTTTCAACTTTTCAAAAACTGGTCCTTTTAAAGCTTCTCTAACCTGCATCGTGTTTTTATTCCAACATAACAATATATACCTCAGAGAACTATTCTTCAGAGCCACATATTCGCTAGCAATTGCAGGATGACCTATTTGATCCAGAAATTACTATGGATAAATTTTAAATTATATTTAGTTATAGCTCATCAAGTACACCAAAAATAAATAAGTAAATAGAAAACCCTGTTGCTGATGAGTCGATCCCAACTCAAGACTCTATAGGACAGAGTAGAACTGCCCCATAGGGTTTTCAAGGCTATAAATCTTTTTTATTTTTATTTTTTATTGTGCTTTAGATAAAGGTGTATAGAACAAATAGTTTCTCATTAAACAGTTAGCACACATATTGTTTTATGACAATGGTTAACAACCCCACGACATGTCATCATTGTCCCTTCTCAACCTTGGGTTCCCTATTACCAGCTTTCCTGTCCCCTCCTGCCTTCTATTCCTTGCCCCTGGACCGTTGTGCCCCATTACTCTAGTTTTGTTTTATGGGGCTGTCTAATCTTTGGCTGAACAGTGAACCTCAGGAGTGACTTCATTACTGAGCAAAAAGGGTGTCCGGGGGCCATAGTCTCGGGGTTTCTCCAGTCTCTGTCAGGACAGTAAGTCTGGTCTTTTTTTTTTTTGGTGAGTTAGAATTTTGTTCTACATTCTTCTCCAGCTCTGTCCAGGATCCTCTGTTGTGATCCTTGTCAGAGCTGCCAGCGGTGGTAGCCGGGCACCATCTGCTTATACTGGACTCAGTCTGGTGGAGGCCATGGTAGTTGTGGTCCATTAGTCATTTGGACTAATCTTTTCCCTTGCATCTTGTTTTCTTCATTCTCCCTTGCTCCCGAAGGGGTGAGACCAGTGGAGTATCTTAGATGGTTACTCACAGGATTTTAAGATCTCAGACACTACTCACCAAGGCAGAATGTAGAACATTTTCTTTATAAAGTGTGTTATGCCAATTGAGCTAGATGTTCCCCCAGATCATGGTCCCCACAGCCCTCTGCCCAGCAATTCAGTCCCTAAGGGAGTTCAGATGTGTCTATGGAGCTTCCATGACCTTTCCTTGTACAAGTTGTACTGGCTTCCCCAGTACTGTGTACTGTCTTGCCCTTTACCAAAATTACCACTTATCTATTGTCTATTTAGTATTCCCCCCTACCCCTCCCCATCCCTTGTAACCAACAAAGACTTTCTTTTTGTGTGTAATCTTTTTCATGAGTTTTTACAGTAGAGGTCTCATACAATATTTGTCCTTTGGTGATTGACTTATTTCACTCAGCATAATGTCCTCCAGTTTCATCCATGTTATGAGATGCTTCACAGATTGATCATCGTTCTTTATCATTGCAATCACTGCATAATACTCCATTGTGTGCGTATACCACAGTTTGTTTATCCATTAATTTGTTGATGGGTAGCTAGGTTGTTTCCATCTTTCTCCTATTGTGAACAATGCTGCCATGAACATGGGTGTGCATATGTCTGTTCGTGTCACGGCTCTTGGTTCTCTAGAATATATTCCTAGGAGAAGGATGGCTGGATTGTATAGTATTTCTATTTCTAGCTTTCTAAAGAAGCACCATATCATTTTTCAAAATGGTTGTATCATATTGCATTCCCACCAGCAGTGCATAAGATTTCTGATCTTCCCACAGCCTATCCAACCTTTGTTACTTCCAGTTTTTTTGATTTGTGCCAGTAATGCCGGGGTGAGATGTTATCTCATTGTGGTTTTAATCTGCATTTCTCTGATGGCTAGTGATTGCAAGTATTTCCTCATGTGTCTGTTGGCCACTTGAATGTCTTCTTTGGTGAAGTGTCTGTTCATTTCCTTCGCCCATTTTTTAATTGGATTATTTGTCTTTTGGTTGTAGGGTGTTGGATTTTCTTGTAGATTTTAGAGATTAGACCTTTGTCTGATTTATTTCCAATTTTTTTTTTCCCAGTCTGTAGGTTCTCTTTTTACTCTTTTAGTGAAGTCTTTTGATGAGCATAAGTGTTTAATTTTTAGAAGATTCCAGTTATCTAGCTTATCTTCTGGAGTTTGTGTGTTGTTGGTTATAGTTTGTATCCTGTTAATGCTGTGTATTAGGGCCACTAGCATTGATCCTATTTTTTCTTCTATGAACTTCATAGTTTTTGTCTTTATATTT